ATGTAAACTGGTATGGCGAAGATTCGGAAGAAGACTAGAAGGCACTACTTACGTTAACTATTAAATGATATCGCAATAAGTACAGCTATTTCTATGCTCATTTTAGTTTATTTTAACATTGCTTACAACAAGATATAGATGAATGTGAGTGCTATGTTAAAAAAACAAAAAACTATGTTAAAATGTACAATTTGTTTAAACATGCAGCGCGACAACGCAAGCCTATAATTAAGTGATTTGATATAAATTGACCAAAATGTATCACTAAGGATGTACGGTTGAATTGAGTTTGATATAGGATACTGGTATTATACAACACCTTTTTTTTGCTAATAGATGATTCAAAAAAGAAAAGTTTATGCCAGCTTTGTTTAGTAATGTACAATTTCGGTTGTTTTGAAGGAAAATTAAGTATTATAGTAAAACAAAATAGGAAAACAAGATTGATTACGCTTTTACCTCTAAAATTCCACCAAAAATGTACTGAAATTACACCTTTGCAATGAAAGGTGTAGGCAGGTCTGAATGAATGTAGTTTTGAGATGGGATCAATATTCATGCATGGCAAGTTATTTTGTCTTTTGTCACGTTCAATTCCTGCTTGAATCTATAAGTTAAAATGCATTTAGCTGCAGATCTGTAGCGTTATGGTTTTATATATTTGTCTTTGACCATAACACTACAGATCCCGTAATGCAAAAAATGTGCAATTTACGGTGCAATATTTTTTGCGCGCTTTAGGGGAGAATTTCTCCACTTTCCAGCATGGGTCAATTAACTACTTTTCATTCCCTAATTCTAGGCACATTATTTAACTAATCTGTATATTTTATCCATCTCCCAACCCTTTATAGTCGTCTCTACAAGTGATAAACTCACTTGATTAAAATTATATGTTAGATTGCTGAAAATTCACTTCAGGCGAGTTCATTGCCTGTAGAGACATCTAAAAATGGTTGGGAGGTGGATAAAATATACACATTGGCTACAGAATATGTGTAAAATGAGGGAGTGAAAGGTAGTTGATTGACCATTGCTAGAAAAAGGAGAAATTCTCCCCAAAAGTGCACATAAAATATTGCGCCGTAAATTGCAAGTTTTTTGCATTACGGGATCTGTAGCGTTATGGTCAAAGACAAATATATAAAACCATAACGCTACAGTTCTGCAGCTAAAATGCATTATGCTTTGCAACAAAACTATTCATATACATACAGCAGCATAAAAATTAAGTGGGGGTATTAATCAAATTCTCTTTTTTTCTGTCCCTGCTGTCAATTATTATTCTCAAGCAAGAAATGTTGGGGAGTTTTGCAATTTTCTTTTACTTGTGCATATTAATGTTTCAAACTATCAAATCAATTGTGCATTGATGCAGAATGTTTTTGCAGACACAACAATAAACTTGTAAATGAATTTCAAATTGGAAAAAAATTATTTCTGCCAGGCCAAAAAATTGTCATACCTTAATTACTTCTAGATTGCACAAGTACATCACAATGATATTGAATATTCCATGTCAAGTTCATTAAAATTGGTTTGAATAATCCATATCTCTGATGTCACATTAAGAAGAATACATGTAAAGCTTGGTACTTCAATTTACTAGTGACATAAATCATTAAAATTTGTCACAAGGTCATACACATGTTTTACAAAGGTCAAGGTGATTAAAAATCTTATCAAGTAAAGAAATCAGAGAGTTTCAAAATTTTTATTTTAGCTGTAAAATATATTTTGTGAAATTTAAGGACAACATACCTAAGGGAGCTTTTCAAAAACCAATGCAGGCAGATTTATCAGCGGAATAAAGAATTCTGTCAGCAAATCTTTCCTTTTAAATGATCCTATGCTTTATTTTCACTTAAACAAATATTAGTTTTATATGATACAAGATAGGTAGGTGTAAAGAAACAGCAGGAACCAATTTTACATCTTCACCAAATGTAATGTCTTTAAATTGATTACTAGTACTTTTATTTTCAAAAAAAAATATGTACTACATATAAATGTAGTACTAATTAAAAGTACTACATTTTCAAGAAAAACTAATGTCAGAATAGCTAGACTTGAGAAAATCTTTCATTGTTATGGTTTTGAAAATGAACATATCGCTATTTGTTATACATGTATATCATATCATATCTCATATGTTATTTGAAAGCATACATGTTATGATTAAACCCACACTTTCTTCTAAAGGAAAGTTCGGGTATATTGTTACTAAGATTTCGCTGAAAATTAGCACCATCTAGAGTAGACTGAAATATATGATGTTTTCCAGGCTTTATACAGGTCCAGTCCAAAGACTATTTCTACCTACGTATATGGCACGCCAAATTCACAAAAATGAGATAATCATAGTTTCACAATTGATAAACTAGGTTTATCGACTGTAAACTAACCATACAAACCGTAAACTATAGTGAACGATTCATTATACCCCCCGCAAACGAAGTTTGGGGGGGTATATAGGAATCACCTTGTCCGTCTGTCTAGCTGTCCGTCTGTCCGTCCGTCCGTCTGTCTGTGCAATCGTGTCCGGTCCATATCTTTCTTACAGAGGGACATTAGAATCTACTACTCCACACTAAGATTGCTCATGACCTAAGGGTGTGTCATGACCTTGACCCAAGGTCATTTGGGGAAGTTCAAGGTCACTGGAAGAAAAATTTCATAATTCATGTCCGGTCCATATCTTTCTTATGGATAAACTTGGTAGGTTCTCATTTCACACAAAGATTGCCCATGACCCAAGGATGTGTCATGACCTTGACCCAAGGTCATTTGGGGAAGTTCAAGGTCACTGGAAGAAAAATATCATAATTCGTGTCCGGTCCATATCTTTTTTAGGGATATACTTGGTAGGTTCTCATTTCACACAAAGATTGCCCATGACCCAAGGGTCATGGCCTTGACCCAATGTCATTTGGAGAAGTTCAAGGTCACTGGTAGAAAAATTTCATAATTCGTGTCCGGTCCATATCTTTCTTATGGATAAACTTGGTAGGTTCTCATTTCACACAAAGATTGCCCATGACCTAAGGGTGTGTCATGACCTTGACCCAAGGTCATCTGGGGAAGTTCAAGGTCACTGGAAGAAAAATTTCATAATTCAAGTCCGGTCCATATCTTTCTTATGGATAAACTTGGTAGGTTCTCATTTCACTGAAAGATTGCCCATGTCCCAATGGTTTGTCATGACCTTAACCCAAGGTTATTTGGGGAAGTTCAAGGTCACTGTAATAAAAATTTCATAATTCAAGTCCGGTCCATATCTTTCTTATGGATAAACTTGGTAGGTTCTCATTTATTATGGAAAAACTTACTACTGAAAAACCCAGCGGGGGGTATTTTGTCCCATTTGGACAGTTCTAGTTAAGTATAGTTTTCATGTGTAAAACTATATTTAACGGTTGTTAACTATAGATTACGAATGTTAATTTAAGTTTATCTGTCTGTAATAAAGCGTTAACAATAGATTTTGTTGATAAACATAGATTCACGTTTGTAAACTATACTTAATACAAATTGTGAAACTATATTTATCAGATCGTTAACTATAGTTAACGGTTTGTAAACTATAGTTTACAAATCGTGAAACTGTATTCATCAGATAATCTATGTTTTGCAATCGCAAATGATTGTTTTCGATTTTAAGTATACTTTACGGTTGTGAAACATAGATTATCGCGTTAACTATGGTTTACAGATGTGAAATATAGATTAACGTTGTTAACTATACTTTACGGTTTGTAAACTATAGTTTACAACTGAAAAACCTAGTTTATCGATTGTGAAACTATGATTATCTCATTTTTAAATTGTGAATTTGGCGTGCCATATATGTAGCTATTAATAGCTACATAGGTATTTAAACCTACCCAAAGTAGCTATTTTTACCTACGTTTTGTATTATCTACATTTTGTGGCCAAATGACTGAACGGGCGCAACATGGTGAATACCATAATTTTTGATACAGTCACACTAATGATGAATAAGACAAAATTTTGACCAAAAAATTATTACTTCCTGAATCGGAAATTTTACATTAGTTTCTATGCAAAATTGATAATATACGAAGTAATCATTTTTTGGCTAAATTTTTGTCATATCCATCATCAGTGTGACTGTATCAAGAAATTCAGTGCTCACCATTCCTGTGTTTGGCCACAAAATGCAAGTAAAGCAGAAAGTAGGTAAAAATAGCTACTTTGGGTAGGTTTAAATACCTACGTAGCTATTAATAGCTATGTAGGTAGAAATAGTCTTTGGACTGGACCTGTTATATACATGTATAATAGCAATTTAGCAAAATTGTAAAAAAGCCAGGGAAACTTCAGATCTAGAGATTTTTGTCATGTTATATATGAACACCTCTGCATTTTACACTACTTTCAAAAATTTTCAAAAGTGAATTTCATTTGGGAACAAACACTCAACCCTTGTAGTGCCTGTGGGTATAAACCAGTTGATTTATCTGTAATATTTTTTAAAAGTTTTCCTCTTTACAAGATTAAGATAATGCCTCCTGACACCATGAATACACAAGTTTACCTACTTTTCTCAGATGGTAGGATTTAAATCTACATTCACAAAGACAATAATGATCTAAGATGGCAGATTTTAAGTCGTAGTTCTTTTCATGTATAACAGATATGGGTCAAAAAAGCTCCTCTGTTTTATGACTGGCAGAGTGCACTTCATTTAGCTCAACATTCCTGTAGAAATTGACATTGCTTATCTTTCGAAACAATCAAAATGTTGTATTTAAATTTTCCAGCTTTTAAAAATGTCCCGAGTGCTGCTTGGGGAAATATGGGAATCCAAGTCTAGTTCTGGCTCCAACATTTTTATTAATGAATAATATAAATACCTGACTTGATCCGACTATATAGACCAAAGCTGACTAAATATTACCTTCCAAATCAGGCCTTTAATATCTGATTATTAAAAAGTAAAGTACTGCACAATGGTTATTGGCCTCACGCATGGCAGCGGTTTAATCTGATTCCCTGGGCAAAGACATTGTTTGAAAATTGAAATTGTTTCCTTTCAACTTCATTTAAAAACCTGTTTTTACCATCAGGTACCAAGGCAGTAATTGTAAGAGAAGAGATATTTTATTTCACGTAATTTTGGGCATGATTGGTTCGAATTTGTAATAGTGTCTCTATGGATTTTTTAATGTGAATATGAGAAGGATTTTATAAAGTGTTATGAAATCGGAGTTTATTATTAGAGGATTTATGTGAAACATGTTAGTGGCAGCGGCCCCGACTGTTGAAGCAGATCCGTATGGTGGTAACCATAAACTCAGGTATAATTATCTACAGAAAAAAAAATTCTCTCCATATTTAGATAATAGATATACAGATTATAAATTTGGTAATATATGGAAAAAATCTTTGGGGGCAACAACACTCGAAGATTTAATCCAATTTATTGATTCAATTAACATATGATAATGAACTTTTATCGACAGTAAAGTTACCTCTATAATCACTTTTATTTCATTTTCCATGCTAGATTAATTTTCTTGCTTCAGTGATTTAAAAATAAAATTGTATCTACATTTATGACTGGCATGAACTTACTTAATATACTGGTAAGGTATAATGTTAAACAGGTACAACCACAGACCTTTGCCAAGAACATTAGGATTGAGAGATTATTTTTTTGTATATTTTTTGGTACGCTGGGTTGTATTTGTAACTCAGTTACTCTATGTTAAATAATTTTCAGTGACATATAAGGCAAAAGTTTGCCTTCAGTATCTGCATTACTGATTAATTTTTAGCACAATTTTTGGTGAAAGATGTGGAATAGATAATTTTTTACTCAAAAAAGTTAAGTTTTTGAAAATGTGCACTCCCTGAATGCATGTCCGTTGATTTACTCATTTGATATATCTGTTGAAGTATATTCACCTGGTTTGAACAAGGTCGTAACGTTAAGTTGATTTTGCTTTATAAACCACTTAACAGTGACAAAGTAAAAGTGTAGGTTAAATATCAACATTGCGACATATTAGCCCTTAAGAGACAGAGGTTTCAGTTCTACATTAGAAAAGGGATTAAAATCTAAAGATTTAAAAGTGCTTCAATCATAAAATGGCTAATCATTTGATCATATACTAAAGATATTATTTTAAAGTCTTTTTTTTTTATCTCTATGTTGTATGTGTACTTTTAAAATGTCTTCTGCAAATAAAAGTAATTTTTATGCATTTTTTATGGTACCACTTTATGAGTAGAAGTTATGACCTTCATACAATTTAGCATCTTTCAATGTATAAGCTGTGATTATCTCTTGTAAACAAACCCTTGTCATGAAGAATTACGGGGTGTGTTACATGTACTTTTCAACATTGTCATAAAAAGAGTATTTAATATATTTCAAGTATATAAAGTGATAAATTGCTATTATGTATATGCAAGGTAAACGGGTATAAAGGTTGATGTACCTATCTATACAATGAAGCCTAAATATTTCAAACTTACTAGATGCTTCTTTGGCTTTGTTAGCCAAGGGTTTCCGAACCAAAGTCTACACTTCTGAGAAAAAATTCAAGATGTCCCAGTATTTGAGATATGAAAGGGTAAATGCTGAAAGAATTAGTCGTAATGACTGTCAATTCATTTACTACATAGCCATGGTATTCAAGATATCAGTGTTCCACTGTTCTGGATACAAAAGCTTAACTGTATATATTATTTTTGTGTTACAGATGGTCTAAGACAGCTCGCAGCCTCCCAGAGAGTACCCGGCGTCCACAATTAGCTCGGGAGTGGACCTTCCATTCCGTGGAAGCCGAGGATTTTACCAACAATGTGGTGCCTTACAGACTCCCCCGAATCGACACACCCAGAGAGGCCTTCGCCAGGTTCAACGGGGATCCAGATGATGTTTGGAGTCGCTATGGTTACCAAAATCAAATAAGGTATGAGAAATTTTAGTGCATGGGACTTCTGAATCACATATCCATGATATTCAAAATATCAGTGTTCAAGATACTGAAGTTAAACTGCATGTAATGTATAAAAAAGAATGTAAGGCACAAGGCATTTTATTTGTGAACTTGAAATAAAACATTAAAAGCATAGAAATTTTTAAGTTTGAACTTTTGGGTAAGTACTCAGGTCACTTCTGCATAATATTTAGTGTGAGTTACTGACTCATTTTGTCATATGCAGACCTTAAATATGTCATTTTTAGCTCACCTGAGCCAAAGGCTCAAGTGAGCTTATCTGATCACATTTTTTCCGTCGTCCGTGTGTCTGTCTGTAAACTTTTCACATTTTCGACTACTCCTCAAGAACCACTGGGCCAATTTTAACCAAACTTGGTACAAAACATCCTTGGTTGAAGAGAATTTAAATTGTTAAGATGAAGGGCCAAGTCCCCTCACAAGGGGAGATAATCAAGAAAAGACAAAAATAGGGTGGGGTCATTAAAAAATCTTCTACTCAAGAACCACCAGGCCAGAAAAGTTGAAA